GGGGAGCTGGATGATTTTTGAGGTTCCTTCCAAACCAAACCGCTCTGGGATTCTGGAATTCTATGCTAGAGGTGTGGTTCTAAGTGATTCTGACTCTAAGACCTGCTGATTTTTCTATGGCAGCATCATGCAGATTTCCAGTTTGGGATGCAGCCAGTCTGTGCACCTGCAGTTCTAGTTTTCCCAGCACTACAAGTGGAATTACTCCACTTGGAAGGCCAGGACCCTCCTAAGTACAACTTGTTCTGGTGGCAGTGAAATCTGGGTATCACCAAGAAGGATGCAGGGTGTCCTTTGCTGTGTGTGCCATTTGCTGGGAGCCCCAAGCACAGGGTCCTTCTGGCTTTGCAAAGCTTTCATGGGTAAAAAATTCCTCTTGTTTCCCCCTCTGAAAGACTCAGGGGTACAATGGGGTGTGAAGTGGGTTAATTGTGGGAAGAAGGGCCAAGAAGTGGGGAAGTGATATGAGGTGGAGTCTGGGGCAGTAGGAGACAAGTTCAGGGGTGTGTAGTGGTGAGATAGGTTGTATTGGGGATGGGAAGAACTGTGAACTGTGCAAAGGGGCTGCAAGGTGGTAGTGGGGCTGTGGACAGGCTAATGTGGTGCCCAGGGACCAGAGGTGACCAGGGCTGAGGCAGAGTGGAGACAAGCAGCACAAGGAGGGTATGTGAGCACCAGCAGGCCCTAGGGCAAGGCATGACCTCTGGACCAGGAGATGACTTGAGAGCACCAGCCCAGCCAGGCCCCCAAACTCCCTCCAGGCCACAGAGCCTGGGCTGACCTGGGATTGCAGGGAAAGGGGAGCACAGCCCTGTTAAAACAGAAGATTTTGGGCAATGAGGCAAATGTGTCATTTTAAGACATGACTGAGAATAACTGGCTTCTGTTTCAGTGTCTGTGTCATATGGGAGCTGAGATTTGAGGCATCATGCTGAAACTGGATTGAAAGGAGGCTGGGATTTTCTGTGCTGGCTTGTGCAGCCTGTGGGGCTCTGGGACTGGTGCCTGTCTCTGGCTGTCACAGTGGCTGTGACACCTTTATTTCCATCTCTATCTCTTCCCAGCATGGCCAAAGGGAGATACATGGCTGCTCTTCTGCTGCTTGCAGATGCCCAGATCTGTTGAAGGGTCAGGAAGGGTGGCACCAGTGTCACAGAGCTGCCCCATGTCACCCTCAGCCATGCCCTCACCCTGCCCAGACCTCCTGGGCAGAGGACAGAGCCAGGAGAGACTGACATGAGGGCAGTGCTCGCATTTGCAGCCCTGCTGGAGCAGCCCTTGGTGGTCCCACCAGGGCCACCTGCAGAGCTCTGCTTCCAGGCAGCACTTGAGAGGGAGAGGAGCAGCTCATTCCCTGCTAGCGGATCCTTGACAGGTCCATCCATCATCTCCTGAGCTCTGCCAGCTTAATAGCAGATGTTGTCCTGTCCCCAGAGGATGGAGGGGGAGTGAAACAAATGGACCGAACTCCAGATGGCTGGCAGGGCCCTCCACGTTCACTGTTCCTGAGACAAACCTGCTGCTGCAGGGTCCTTTGGGCAGGTGACACGTGACAGTGGGGCTGGTGGGCTGGGAAAACAGGCAAGGTGTGCAGTGCAGGGTGGGGGGATCAGTGCAAGCCCCACAGGATAGACCCAGACAGGTCTGGAGTGATCATAGGGGACTCACCTGTGCAATACAGGGCTAGAGATGTGCTCTGCCCAGCACAGGTTCAACACTGGGGTTTGTAGGCTCTGCTGGTGACACCAGGATCACCCGGGTGCCTGGGCTGCAGGAAGAATGCAGGTGTACAAGTCTTGGGCTGAGTGGCAGGTGAAGGGCTGCTCCTGTCCCACCATGCATGTGAGATCAAACTGCAGGGACGGGCAGCTGGGGCTGGCACTGGGACATTGCAGCACTTCTGGTGGCTCACAAAGAGGCAGGACCTGAGATCCTCAGATTCAGAGCAAAGGAGTCTATCACATAAAATAATAGGAGTAAAGAAACCCTCACCTTCCCCAGGGCTCCAGGGAGGGCACTTCTGGCAGGTGGCCATAGTTGACTGCCGTGAAAACAGCAGAACAACTACTCTGCACCTCTCTGCTGAATGGCTGCAGACTTGGGAGGCTTCTGTGTGTGTCACAACCACAGCTGTGGAGCCCAGTGTGTTTTAGACCTGGTGCATTTGATTGAATTTTTCCTACTGGTCACGGCTCTGCTGTTTGCTCTTCCCAGAGCTAACCTGAGAAGTCCTGGCCTTTCACATGTCACTGTCATGGCATGAGAGAGCTCAGTCCAGAGCAGGACATGCCTGGCATCCTGTACTGAAGGTGTCTCATACCATGTGCAGGTTGGAGCTGGTGCCCTCTCCCCTGAAGGCTTTGCACATGTCCTGCTTCCCTCAAAAGTGGGCACTGAGACACTCAGAGGTGCATGACCCCCTGAGCAGTGCCTGTCCCAGCACCAGGTGCTCCCCAGCCCTCCCTGCATGCTCATGCTGTCCATGTGCTGGGAGCTGGCTCCTGATGGCTCTGCCCTGGTGCACAAATTCACCTGTAATTTGTCATTTAGTATAATTTTCCCCTTGAGTGCATCTAAAATAATTGTGACTCATTGCTACAGGTAATTAATGGGTTTTTTACAGCATTAAATGCTAAGTGATTACAATTGCTCCGTGCAAATCTGCTGTGCTTTGTGTTCCCATCCTTCCTGCTGCCTGTCTTTTCCTACCTGAGGTAGCACTGATTTCTCTGCCCTTAATTAAATAGCAGTGGAGGGAAGCACTCCAGTGCCTCTGGAGCCACAAGTGGCTGGTTGCTGCATGGGTAGAGATGATGGTTTGCAGGTCCAAGGGACATTCACACAAGTTAAAGGCAGCAGTTCCTGTCCTGCACCTGCCCAGCACCGACTGGGGCTGTCCCATTGCCCAGCTCCCATCCATGCTCATGCAGTGTCTTCATCCTTTCCCACACAGGAAAACTGGGAAATTTTCTTTTTTATGTTTTATTTTGGGAATTTGGTTCGGTTTTTTCCCACCAGCTGGCTGCCCCCCAGATTTGTCCCCACATGAGAACAGGGTGTATCTGCGCTCACATGATGCAGACTGGAGGGTGCTGCATCAAGGGGCACTTGGCAAGGGCAGAGTCCCTGAATTTCTTGGTATCCTCAGGACCAGTCAGCACCAGAGCCTGCCAAATGTCTCGGGCTGTCCTTGGGAGGACATGAAATCCCCTGAAAATCTGCATCCCCCGTGTTGTCTCCTCTCCTGATGCCCTTGAGGAGGTGAAAGGTGCCAGAAGAGCTGAGGAACAAAACCAGCCCCAAGCTGCTGCAATTTCACATCTGCCTTCCCTTGCATCTCCAATTTTGGGCATTTCTACTCCTTGCCCTGATGCCCTTTGGGGAGTGCAGAAGCAGAAATTTAGGAACAAAGTCTGGAACTGCTGGTCTTTGCTGAACCAAGATGTGACACCAGCCTGTGCCACCACCTCTGGCACATCCAGCACATGTGGATCCTGCCAGTGGTATCACTGTTGCTGTTAACAGAGCATTTGGTGCAAAAGTGCCACAGAAACTGGTGACAGCGCCCAGAGAGGGACCAGCAAGTGCTCCCCACACCAGGGATACATGACTGGAGCACTGCCTTCAGCTGCCATTACTAGAGTGCCTCAGTTATAAAAAGGCCCTTGTGTCACTGTACAGTGTGTGAGAGGTGGAATATGCTGGTAGCATCAGTCCAGGGAGATCTGTGGCAAGGAAAGGAGTGTTATTAATAAGAAAACAAATCAGCACCTTGAAACAGAACAAACAGCATGGAGGGACACAGCCCACTGAGGATGCTGGATCACAAAAAACCCTTTTACATGCCTGAAAGCAAAGATTGAGGCTGTATGCAAATTTGGCCACTGGAGGTAAAGATGAGAAAATGAAGGTATTACTACCTCAGTGGGAAAAAACAGAGATGAGTCAGAGTCAGGAATAATCCTTGAATCACTAGAACTGGTCCTAAAAGTACCTCATGAACACAGGGACCCAGACAGAGCCTGCTTTCCCTTATTTGGAATCTAAGTCTGCAGGAGAGGGCAGATCCTTCCACCCCCAGACAGATACCTGACATGCCACATGTCCCTCTTGAAGAAATCGATTTTTAACGAGAGACAAGCTGTTTGTTTGTGTGACAAATGATCTACCTGAGGGGCTGCTGGGAGAAGGGGTAGGATGAAGCAGAGCAATGGGTGTGAGATGAGCTCCTGTATCAGGAGGAGGCAGAGGAACTGCAGGCAGGTTGTATTGTCAGAAAAAAACTTTTTTCCAAGGCTGTCTCATTTGGCCTGAATTTCCCTCTGCCTCCAGAGGGAGGGCAGCAGGCGTGCAGTGCCTTTTTGCTGTACTATGCAACCAGAGGGGCTCTTTCCCTATCTTTTTGTGTAAGAAAACTTATTGCTCTGTGTGGCAGCACCCCAGGGTCTTACAGAGGGACATGTACCATGTTCCAGATGTGGAAAATTTAATTTCTGAAACTTCCCACATAGATACTTTTGGGAACCTGGGCATAGCCAGTGTTTGTGGCAATCACCATGAAGTGAGGATTGTGTTGTAAATTTGCCCCATAAATGGTATTTTGGAATAGTTGCCAATAGATTTCCAGTGCTTCCATGGTTTGATCCTTGCAATGCTCTCTGTCCTGAGGGCAGACAGTGCTGGACAGCAGGCACAGGGGCAAGAATACCTGGAGCTTTGCAGGCAGCTCCTGAACAGCAGAGGCACCCAAGTTTGTTTGTGAAGCAGTGGGGAACGGGTGTCAGGATGGCAGTAAGTGCAGCTGGGGGAACAGAAGCTTCCACAGAGCCCAGTTTCCAGACAAGCAGCTGGAGGGGACTCGCCCAGGTGCAGGGGAGAAAGGCTGGTTTGCTGTGCACTACATGAGAGCAGAGCTGAGCTTTGTGCTGGTGGGATCTGCTGAGCTGTGGGATGATCCTCATCCAGGCACATCCCTCTGACCTGTGCCCATCTCCCTGCAGCCTGCCAGCTGGGATTTTACAAATCAGCCCCTGGGGACCAGCTGTGTGCCAAATGTCCCCTGCACAGCCACTCGGAGAGCCGGGCAGCTCGTGTGTGCCACTGTGACAGCAGCTTCTACCGCGCCGTGCAGGACCCCCCCTCGGCCGCCTGCACACGTGAGTGCCCCCTGAGTACCCCCTGAGTGCCTCCTGGGTACCCCCTGAGTGCCCCCTGAGTACCCCCTGAGTGCCTCCTGGGTACCCCCTGAGTGCCCCCTGAGTATCCCCTGAGTGCCTCCTGAGTACCCCCTGAGTGCCCCCTGAGTGCCCCCTGAGTACCTCCTGAGTACCCCCTGAGTACCCCCTGAGTATCCCCTGAGTGCCTCCTGGGTACCCCCTGAGTATCCCCTGAGTGCCCCCTGAGTATCCCCTGAGTGCCTCCTGGGTACCCCCTGAGTACCCCCTGAGTGCCCCCTGAGTACCCCCCTGAGTACCCCCTGAGTGCCCCCTGAGTACCCCCTGAGTACCCCCTGAGTGCCCCCTGAGTAACCCCCTGAGTACCCCCTGAGTGCCCCCTGAGTACCCCCTGAGTACCCCCTGAGTGCCCCCTGGGTATCCCCTGAGTACCCCCTGAGTATCCCCTGAGTGCCCCCTGAGTGCCCCCTGAGTACCCCCTGAGTACCCCCTGGGTACCCCCTGAGTATCCCCTGAGTACCCCCTGAGTATCCCCTGAGTGCCCCCTGAGTGCCCCCTGGGTATCCCCTGAGTACCCCCTGAGTATCCCCTGAGTGCCCCCTGGGTATCCCCTGAGTGCCCCCTGAGTATCCCCTGAGTGCCCCCTGAATATCCCCTGAGTATCCCCTGAGTGCCCCCTGGGTATCCCCTGAGTGCCCCCTGAGTATCCCCTGAGTGCGCCCTGGGTATCCCCTGAGTGCCCCCTGAGTATCCCCTGAGTGCCCCCTGAGTACCCCCTGAGTATCCCCTGAGTACCCCCTGGGTATCCCCTGAGTGCCCCCTGAGTATCCCCTGAGTGCCCCCTGAGTACCCCCTGAGTATCCCCTGAGTACCCCCTGAGTACCCCCTGAGTGCCCCCTGAGTATCCCCTGAGTGCCCCCTGAGTACCCCCTGAGTATCCCCTGAGTGCCCCCTGAGTATCCCCTGAGTGCCCCCTGGGTATCCCCTGAGTGCCCCCTGAGTACCCCCTGGGTATCCCCTGAGTGCCCCCTGAGTATCCCCTGAGTATCCCCTGAGTGCCCCCTGAGTACCCCCTGAGTATCCCCTGAGTGCCCCCTGGGTATCCCCTGAGTACCCCCTGAGTATCCCCTGAGTGCCCCCTGGGTATCCCCTGAGTATCCCCTGAGTGCCCCCTGAGTGCACCCTGAGTATCCCCTGAGTGCCCCCTGCGTATCCCCTGGGTATCCCCTGAGTGCCCCCTGAGTACCCCCTGAGTAACCCTGGCTGTCCTGTGCCCACTGTGCTGCACTGGGGCAGTGTCACATCCTCGGACCCAGCTGCTGCTCCTGCCTGAGCCCAGCACTCTCCCCTGGCCCTGTACCTGCTGCCCAAGGTGCTCCACCAGCCCTACAACCCCAAGTATCTGTCTGGCATGTGAGCTGAGAGCCCTCCTTAGCTGCACTCCCTCACTGTCTCTGTGTCAGCCCCATCCTGCTGCTCTCCAAACGCCGCTGACCAGGGTCAGAGAGTCACAGAATCGTTAAGGTTGGAAAAGTCTCTGTGTTTGTCAAGTCCATATATCAGCCCAGCACCACCACCATCTCACCTCTAAACCATGCCCCCAAGTGCCACATCCACACATTTGTTTGAACACTTCCAGGGATGGTAACTCCACCATTTCCCTGGACAGCCTGTTCCAAAGCCTGACCATCCTTTCTTTGAGGCAATTTTCTCTAATACCCAATCTAACCCTCTTGTGGCACAGCCTGAGGCCATTTCCTCTTATCCTGTCCCTTGTTACCTGGGAGAAGTGATTGACCCCCACCCCAGCTTTCTTTTCCTAGAAGTGCACTGGATGGTCAAACACCCCTAGGAAGCCATGGGGTCAGTGCAAGTGTTGCTGTGCTCTCCTCTGTGGGTGACATCAGGGTTTGTCATATGGTCTCAGCTCAGCTTTGCAATATGCTGCTTTGAGGGGCCCAGTGCTATTAAAAGAGGACAAGGACATCCCAGGGAGTGTCCTCCTTTCTGCAGTTGGTCCAGGAGGACAGACAGGTGTGGCATTGCTAGCTGAGGCCAGAATGAAGGAGGGATAAGCAGCACTTGACTTGTATTTCCCTAAGGAATATCCACCCAAGTTTATTAGTCTGGCAAGGAAATGTGAGTTCACCTTTCCCTTTAGGTGAGCATATCCAGCTCATCAACTGTGGCTCTCCCCACAAATCTTCATGCCTCACCATTGCTTCCTGCTTCCCCCAGAACTAATACCAGCTCTTGCTGTCTGGCATTTGGCATCCTGATCCTGATGGTTTTACCTCCAGGGCATTTCACCCTGTGCCCTGCCTGTGTCTGCTGTCTCATGTCCAGCACATTCGCTGCTCTGGGCAGTTCTGTGTCCCTTTGTCGAGGTTTAGGGCAAATTTGGAGGAGAATTTCCAAATGAGGGCTCCTCCAGTAAGCAAACCCCCACAGCCCCTCCCCCAACCGGTTCGGGAAGGATTCCTCAGAGAGGAGTGGAAAGAACCTGTTTATTTAACAAGCACAGCACCCCCCAGCACACAAAATGAACAATACCGGATGGCACCGCTCTGAAAAAAGATGACAAATTCAGAAAGTCTCTCTTGGGGGGGGGGGTGGTCACTCTGTTCTCAGTCCCTCTGGCGCTGGGGCAGCTGCTGCAGGCCACAAGGTGCAGGATCTTGGTGTTTCTCAGGTCCCAGTCCGAAGCAGGTTCGAAATGATCAGAAAAAGGAAAGGAGAAACTGTCCAGGAAGAAATTGGACAGTTTAGCTAAACTAGGCTAAAGAGCAAAAGCAAGCAGAAGCGAAGCAAGCAAGAGCGAGAGAGCAAAAGCAAAAAGCCAAAACAGCAAAAGCCAAAGCTGCAGTCTCTGTGTCCCGCCAGGCTGATAAGAAAACCAAAACAAAACTTTCCCTCTTCAGAGCTGGTCTTAAAGGTACAGAACATGATATCCAATATTAACAGAACACATGAATGGGGATACAAGCATCATAACGCCACCCTAGGACACCCTTGCAGCAGTGTTTGTGAGCTCAGGTCCTGCTGCCCAAGGCACATCTCCATTTGATGGGGTCTCTGGTCTCGAGATGACCCCGAGGTGTTAGAAAATCTCTTCTTCCCAGCCCCGAGACCAAAGAAGAAGACGGGATTCCTTGGCTCTCATTCTCAAGGTTGTTTCTTTTTCCTTATCTATAACATTCTTTCTCTGACCTGCTGAGATTTGTCTGGCAGGTCAGTTTGTGGAACACTGACTGCCCTCAGGGTGGTGTTATCTTTTTATACTAAAAACTACATGTACTTTATTTACAATAATTTTCCAATACCTATCCCCTATGTTAGACAGTCTGTCTCTACTCTAAACCAATCCAAAAGTGCCACCATCACAGCAGAAGATGGAGGCTAAGAAGAAGAAGGAGAAAGACAGAACACGCCCAGATTCCTCCATCTTTCTTCTTGAACCCCCATTCTAAAAACCCCAAAATTCTACTTTTCCACTCTGTGGAAAATTCACTATCATTCTACTCAAACTCTTGTGGCTTATACATCTTCATACAAAGTTGGTAGCTTTTTCCATGGGCTAAAATCAAAGGCACAGGTGTTTTTGACCCCATGCCAAGGTCTCTGAGGCCCCTGCCAGGGTCTTGAGTTCTCCAGGGTAGCCAGAGGAATGTCCTGGATTCCGACATCCATTGGTCCCACATTCCACCATTTCAATACTCCAGCAGCCCTTGCTCTGCCTGAATCCCCGCCTCTCTTGCAGGGCCCCCCTCTGCTCCGGTGAACCTGATCTCCAGTGTGAACGGCACCTCGGTGACGCTGGAGTGGGGCCCGCCGCTGGACAAGGGCGGCCGTGCAGATGTCGTGTACAACGTGCGGTGCCGGCGCTGCGCGGGTGCCGCGGGGCCGTGCGAGGCCTGCGGCAGCGGCATCCGCTTCGTGCCGCAGCAGATGAGCCTGGTGCAGGGAGCACTGACCGTCACCAACCTGCTGGCACACACCAACTACTCCTTCTGGGTGGAGGCCGTCAACGGCGTCTCCGACCTCAGCCTGGAGTCCAGGAGAGCCGCGGTGGCCAACATCACGACAAACCAGGCAGGTAGGAGGAACAGACCCACCTCCAGACTTGGCCTGCGGGGTGATGCTGATGTTGCTCCATCATTGCTCCAGGCAGTGTCTGCAGGAGCCAGAACCTGCTCTAGCAGTGAGGGGCTGATTTGGTGATGGGCTTGGGACAGCCAAGAAATGGGTCCCATGTCCTCTATGCTGCTGGAGGTGGGTTCAGGGAACTGGAATGGGATGGGGATAAATTGCTGCCCAAGGTAACTCTTACCCTACTCTGCTTCTGCTTCATGGGGTCCTTTTCCCTTCTCCATTCCCTTCACTTCAGCTTGCAGACACTGTTGGAGGCTCCTTTTCTGCAAGAGACAGGGGACACAGAGAATACTTGTTTATTGACAGGAACACTAAGGAGAGTATGAATGTTTCAGGCTGATCCTCCAGCCTTTTGTCCCTTCCCAAGGGCCAGGCAGCTGTTCATACTCTGCTCTTATCTCACACCAGTGCCAGGCCCTGGCAAATGACAGCAATGTTTGCTGGGAAAAGTCTCTCTTATGCACATCTCACCTTTGCAAATCCCTCACTGCAAAATGATCTTTCCTCAGGAAATTCCTCTGAGCAGTGCTCTAGCCCAGGTAGGACAGGACTTTGTTCCATAGCATTTTTCAATGGAGCACACTGTCAGCAGAGAGATCAGGGCAGGGACTGACCTTCGTTGTCAGTTCTCCCAGTTTGAATGAGCCCACAAGAACTTCCCATGATGCTGAGCCCCTTCTGGTCTTGTGGCTGAGGTACCAGTGGGAGAAACTTGGGAGCCTTGCTGGTTAGTTCATGGCTGGCATGAGAACAGGTCCCTTTGTCACTAATACCAGCCTGTAGCACTTCTGCAGCATGTGGAAATGGCTCAGTCCTGCTGGCTTGATCCCTCACAATCCCTCCAAGTGCTGATGAGCTGCCTCAGCCTGATGTCTCAGACGGATATGCTCTCAGGAAGTGCTGAGTATTCCTATTTTGACCATTCAGTTGCAAAATGGATTCTGAGCAGGTGCTGTGAAAGCAGTGGGGTTGGGAATTTAGTAGTTCAGCTTCTGTGCTCCAGCTGCTGCATGTGGCAGAGCCCCCTGCCCTCTAGGGGTCTGAGGGACCCCAACACTGCATGGGGGGACCTCCTGGCTGCTGTCACCCTTGTCCCCCCAGCCCCAATGGCTGAGGCAGCTGCAGCACAGATTCCCTGGGCTGTTTGGAGAAAAGGCATTGCCCATGCTCATGCAGTTTAACTGATTCCCACCATCCCACCCTGTCCCATCTCCCCATCTGGTGCAGGGTGCTCTGTACCAGCAGCATTTTCTGCTTCTCAGAGGAGCCAGCCCCAAAGAGCTAAAATTGCTGCTGCAGTCCCTGTGGCCTCTTTTGGTCTCTGTGCTGCTCTGGTGACACCCCTGCACTGCAGCCATGGCCACTGCAGCTCTGTCTTCCCCAGAGCTTCCACGTCCCATTTTTCACCTGACAATGAAGCTCACAAGTGGGGCCCAAAACCTTTCCATGAGTCAGACCCTATGGCTGCACCTGGCCATCACAGCACCCACTACACTCTGGGGAACTCCCAGTGGATATTTTCCCAGTAGGAAAAGAGGCTGGTGAGTTGGTTCCTTCAGCTGTGACAGCTACAGTTCAGGCATGCCTACAGGTACAAGAACAGATTCACAGGCTCCCAGCTCAGAACTGGGAAGATGACAAATATCCCAGGGCAGTAGAGCACCCCCAGGCACTTTTAGACTGCTGCTCAGACCCTGACCATGCTCATCATCTCCCCTTTCCCTCTTCCCCTGCCCTTCTCCCTTTACCACAGGTAGAACAAGAAGGGACTTCTTGTGCAGTAGGGATCTCCTGTTGTGAGCCGCTGGCCCATTGGCACTGGCGCGAGCAGAAGCAGTGCCCGACCTTCCAGAAACGTCTCCAGTAACGGAGCTGCTTGCTTGGTGGCACAGGCACACACATACATGCACTGTCACTCCAGCACACACGCACACAGTAACTGCAGCACACACGCACACACACCATCACTCCAGCACACACGCACACAGAGTAACTGCAGCACACACACACCCACACACACCATCACTCCAGCACACACGCACACAGTAACTGCAGCACACACACACACACACACCATCACTCCAGCACACACTTCACATAGCTATTCTAGAATCACTAATGACAAAGAAGTGAAAAGGGTCTTTGCATGGAGCTCTGAGGAGGAGGTTTATTCCAGCCACGCATGAAGGGGTCCAGGGACAAAGATAAAAGAACAGTGGAGAGTCCAGGTTTAAATATGGGGGACAAGGAGGGCAGAGCAGAGCATCAGGGCCAATGGGCTGAGGACTCAGGGCAGTACAGAGGCAGGACAAAGGGTGGCAGCCAATAGGGTAAAGGGGGCTGGACACTGTGGCTGTATGGGGCCAATGGGTAAAGCAGGGAAGGAGAACATTCTAGGGCATATACATATAAGGAAAAAGGGGTGGAGAGGCCAATGGGCCAACCAGGGAGGTAGAACTGGGGTACATTTGCATACACAGCAAAGCATCCTGGGAGAGGCTTTGCTCAGTTGCCTTGTACAGCAGAGATTTTTCCAATTTAGGGTCTGTCCATCTAAGGAACTGTAATGGACCCGCATCCTGGGAGAGGCTTTGCTCAGTTGCCTTGTACAGCAGAGATTTTTCCAATTTAGGGTCTGTCCATCCAGGGAACTGTAATGGACCCTTTTTGTGTAGGCCCACCAGCCTCCACACTCTCCATGACCTGCAACCACACTGGTCCTTCTCCTTTCTGGCTCCAGATCACAGCAAATCACCTGTGTCCCCTCCTGCCTGTGCTGGGACAGGGCCCTCCTCTCTCATCTTCTCAGAGCTTCCTTACTCCATGGGAAAGAGACTGATGCAGCCAAAACAAGGAAAAGCCTGTTTGCAATTCCCATCACAGCACTCATCTCCACATGGCTTTAATTAAACCAGAAACCTGGTTTAAGTCAGGAGTCCTGTCTGGGCCTCTGGTTCCACCCTTCTCTGTTGCTGTCTCCTGCTGCCCCCCTCAGCAGGCACCTAACCCCCTGTCTGGTCCCCAGCTCCATCACAGGTGGTGGTGGTGCATCAGGAGAGCACAGGCCAGAACAGTGTCACCTTGCTGTGGCAAGAGCCGGACCAGCCCAACGGCATCATCCTGGAGTATGAGATCAAGTACTATGAGAAGGTAACGCTGAGCTTGTTTCTCAGAGAGCCCCTGCTATCAGCCAGCCTTGCACAAGGGGCTTCTTTGGAAGACTGTGTGGTTGCCGTGCTAATGCAGAGAAGGTTTTGTTGTTGATTTTCCCCAGGACAAGGAAATGCAGAGCTACTCAACTCTGAAATCCAAGAGCACCACTGCCACCATCTCTGGGCTCAAGCCTGCAACCCGCTACATTTTCCAGGTGCGGGCTCGCACCTCTGCCGGCTGCGGGAGGTTCAGTCAGACCGTGGAGGTGGAAACGGGGAAGCCAGGTGAGTGTGTGCAGGTGTGGGGTGTGGCAAGTGTGGGGCAGGGAGCCTGGGGCCTGGTGATGCCCTTCTCCATGGCCACTGTTCCTCTGCCACACAGGGAGGGGACCTGAAGGCACATCCCCCCAGTGTTTCAGCCTGCCAGGACTGCTTGAGGTTGCATTCCTGACATGTTTGGAACAAGAGGAAACAGACTCAAGTTGAAACAGGGTTCAGGTTGGATAATAGGAAATATTTCTTCACTGAAAGAAGATACTGGAACAGGCTGCCCAGGACAGTGGTAGAGTCACCATGCCTGGAAGTGCTCGATTAATCTGTTGATATGGCACCTGGGGATATGTTTAAGTGATGGCCTTGGCCATGTTGGGTTAATCGTTGGACTCAATGATCTTAGAGGTCTTTTCCAACCTTAATGAGTCTGTGATTCTATGCTTATACATTAGAAAGAAAAGGGAGGAAGGATGCAGCAGTTAGGCCAGGGAGGACCTGCAGAGGTCCTGAGGCTCCAGTCTCCTCTCTGTACCAGTTTGCTGTGTCACTATGGCTTTCTCAGATCTCTCCTTGACTTCCCCACATGTAAATAGTCCCTGTACACTGGGAGAGGCTCAAAACTGGGAATAGATGGGACAGTGCTTCATCTTTGAAGACCATTACTGCATTGTCAGCCCAAGACTTTGTCTTTGACGACCATGGGGTGGGTATGTGCCTGAGCTCAGCAGTGAATTCCAGCTCAGCCCCTTCCTACCCTGCTTTTTCCAGTGTCTCTCCGGTACCACACGATGACAATTGTCTGGATCTGCCTGTCACTCATCACTGGCCTTGTCACCTTGCTGGTGGTTCTGATCTGCAAGAAGAGGTAAGAGTTTTGTTGAGGATAGTGAGGTTTCCTGGAGGCCTCCAGCAGGGACAGGAGGGAGGGGAGAACTTGAGCACAACTTTTCTCCTTTCAGTTTGTCCAGAGCATCTATAGGTCCAGGGTTAATAAGCAGCCAAGGGACTTCTTTTAAGGGTCACCACTTTCCCTGAGGCAGAGCCAGTCTCCAGATCTTCCCCTCATGCCAGCAGGCTGAATAGTAATAAATCAGTGTGTATATTATAATATATGATCTATGGAATATCAGTAGCACGAGCAATAGCAATACCAGTAACAGAACCACTACCAGTACAAGAGGTGACTGGATGGACTGGTGGGTAGGTCAGGGGTGGAGAGATCTTTTCTACAGCAGACAGATCCAAGGGACACTGTGTGCTTTGTATGAGCATGCTGAACCAGGCACGTGGAGCTCACATGCTTTTAGCACTGCCAAGCCTTGGAGAGCACCTGGAGAGTACCAAAGTGTCAGTCCAGTGAGATGCAGGGATGCAGCTGGTGGATGGCCAAGTGTTTTCTCTGCCTGCCCACAGCCCCAGCATGCACTGCCTTCTACCCTGCTTTTGGAATGCTTGTGGGAGTGAGGGATGGGGGCTTCTATTCTGACCCTTGTCCTCTTGTGGCAGGCACTGTGGGTACAGCAAGGCTTTCCAGGACTCTGATGAGGAGAAGATGCATTATCAGAATGGGCAAGGTAGGACACTCTCTGGGAAGAACTCCAGCCCCATGGATGGACAGAGATGGACTGTTACCCCCTGACAGTACTGTGGTTTCCAGGGGGAAGGTCTTTGTATCTTGCCTCCTTCTGGGAACGTGTCTTAGGAGACTTGAGTGGGCGATCTGATCTCAGGGGCATCCTGGTAATGGGGTTGAATGTTGAACACTGTGCACTGAGAGTGCAGCAGGATCATGCCAGAGAGCAGCAGGCCAGGGGCAGGAGTGGGGGAGTGGGACAATCATGTGGAGAACACCTGGGCAGCCAGGTCCTGAACTGCTCTGAGGACCCTGCTGCACCAAAGCGTGACTTAGGGTTCCTTGTGCTGCATCTCCATGGCTCCTCAGCCTGTCCTGCCCCTGCCCACCCTCTGCCCTGTGGCTGGTGTCCCTCCTCCCAGCAGGGCTGCCTGAGAGTGCTGATCTCCTCTCTCCACTTTGCAACCCGGCAGTGAAGTTCCCCGAGTCCAAGTTCTATGTGGACCCCCACACATACGAGGACCCCTGCCAAGCTGTGCATGAGTTCACCCGTGAAATAGAGGCCTCCCGGATCAAGATTGAGAAGGTCATCGGGTCTGGTGAGTGCTGGTGCCCAGCTGCCCCTTGGCTTGGTGTCTGCTCAGGGAAATCCATACTCTGAGGTTGAGCCATGCCCCTGGCCTGCTGGGATCAGAGCCGTGCTCAGCGGGGCTTCATCTGCTCCTGAGCCTTGTGAGATCAAAACCTTGGACAGAGTGGGGGTTTGGGGGAGTGAAATAAACCCTTTGGAGCAGCCTGGTGCAGGAGGTTGCTTGTCAGCAGGTGTGGGACTGGTGGCTCAGGCTGACACAGCAGATGGCTCAGCCTGTCCCCATGGGTGTCCCAACATGCACCCATGAAAAAACCTGGGTGACAAGATGCAAATGAAATTGCAAGCAAAATGGCACATTTTCAGAACAAAAGGGAATTTTGCATAGGAACAGGGACTTTTGGAGAAGCACAGTGCAGAGCTGGAGCTGGAACTTCACCAGCTGCTGCCTGACACCGAACCCAGAGGAATGATGCCATTGTAATCACTGCCCTTGGCCCATTGCCTTCAGTGACAGGCACCAGAGAGAGGTGGTTTCATATGTTCCCACCCTTTCTGAACTAGAAACAAGAGCTGATCAATCCTTTCAGAGGATTGAATCGTGGAGGGGTTGGAGGGGATCGAAATCCAGGCTGAAACCCAGAGGGGCTGAGGCATGCTGTGAGTATGCTGATAGACTGGATGACTCATGGTGTTGGTGGGTGAGCACAAGAAGCTGAGGAGCTCTCCATGCTCCCACTTTCCCTTGCCTTGCAGGGGAGTCTGGAGAGGTGTGCTACGGCCGCCTGAAGCTGCCAGGGAAGAGGGAGATTCCCGTGGCCATCAAAGCACTGAAGGCAGGCTACACAGAGAAGCAGAGGCGGGACTTCCTGAGTGAGGCCAGCATCATGGCACAGTTCGACCATCCCAACGTCATCCACCTGGAGGGGGTGGTCACCAGGAGTACGTGGCTGGCAGGGGAGGGAGTGTATGGCAGAGCAGAGCTGGGATGCATCTCCCTGCGGGCAACCTGGGAGATGTGGGTCAGGGCTCACTTTGGGTGCACTCCATCCTTCACTGCCCCAGTGGCTTTTCAGATTTCTGCATTTACCTGGGACAGCCATCCCCTTGCCTTCTCTTCCAGAACAAAGTTCCCCATGGCAGTTCCACACCGTGCTCTGCAGCATGCTCCAGATTATTGTTGGTTTGGGAGATGTCCTACTCAAAGGCATTTATTTTAAAGGCTACCTGTACTGAATCATAATTTGAAGTCTTCCTCCAAAAAGGCACATTCTGATGCAAAGCCTCACACTAATGGCATGCAAATTCCAGCAGGGTAACAAAACTGACCTAGCCATGTCAATAGCACCTGGAGGGAGGGATACCTGTCTGGGTTGTTGCCACATCCCCATCATTGGGCCAGTCCTGCCCAGTGCAGGGGTGACACCAGTCTGAGGGGCTGCAGAAGACCCACAGACCTGAATTCATGTCTCTCCCAGTGAAAACCTGGCACTGGGCTTCCTGGAGGAAGGTGACTTCTCTGCTAACTTGACCTCCCTTGTCTTCTGCAGGCAAATTGGTAATGATTGTTACTGAATACATGGAGAACGGCTCGCTAGACACCTTCCTCAGGGTAAGGAGCGAGTTTGTATTTTCATTCCCTGCACATCCCCTGGGGCTGGTTCCTGCTCCTCAGCCTCACAGCCAGTGAAACCTCTGTTTTAGAGAGAGCTGTGGGTGCTGGGCTCTCACCTCTCCAGCAGACACAGGCTCCAGGCATTGTGTGTGACTCCCTGAAGTGACACTGAAAAAGCAGTGACAACAGCCTGAGCAGATGTCACAGGCACTGAGAGGGCAGGAAGTGGGCAGGGGCAGAAGCAGGAGGCAGTGGGGTCAGAGGATGTACAAAGCCAAAGATGAGAGGCACTGGGAGCTGGTTTAAGGAGCACACAGGAGCACCAGCAGGATGGTGGTGAGCACCACAAGCGAACTCTGGGTTATTTCCTTTCCAGAAACACGATGGGCAATTCACCATCATCCAGCTGGTGGGGATGCTGCGGGGCATTGGGGCAGGCATGAGGTACCTGTCTGACCTGGGCTACGTGCACCGGGACCTGGCTGCCCGCAACATCCTGGTCAACAGCAACCTGGTGTGCAAGGTGTCTGACTTCGGCCTCTCCCGCATCCTGGAGGACGACCCTGACGCTGCCTACACCACCACGGTGGGTGGCTCACAGAGCTGGTCCCTGCTGCTGGTTGCTGCCCCAAAGCCTCTGACACATGGAAAAGTCAGAGACTCTCAAGTCAGAATAGGTAGGGCAGGAATGGCGATGTCACTTCCTGCTGATATCTGAGCCAACAGTTCAAACCCAAAGAGCTCCTGAGCCTTAAAGCGTTGTCCTTGACACAGGGACATCCCAGAACTGAGTGTGCAGTGAACAAAGAGCAGCAGGATGGCAGGACAGGGAGTTATCAAACATCCTCAGCCAGCTGCTCCCATGGGTGTGTGTAGCCTCTGTGTCTCCACTGGAGTCCTTCCCTAGGCTGTGTAGCTCCATCCACTCTGCAGTTGTCCTAGAGCCATCAATCCATAGGGGTGTTCTGGTCCACCCTTCAACATTGTGGCCACACACTGGTTTTTCCATGTGACTCTGCCTCATTCATGGATGTGGAAAAGGTGGGAATTGATTTTGCAGCCTGTGGTTTTATGTCATGCAGGACACTTTTGTCTGTGAAGCCCTGTTGAGATTTTTCTGGCCAACCTGGCAGCTCTGTTTCTTGATGTCCTCCTCCATGGGAGGTCATTAGGAGCAAAATGAAATACATTTTCATGAAATACATAGAATATGTTAAATAAATTGAGCTCTCTTTGCTCTTCTCTAGCCATGAAAAGAATTGGTGTGCTCCCCTGGAACATATCTGGTGGACAGACTGTTCCTGATGGAGGCCAGTTTGGAGGCAGCAGAGGAGTCCAAGCATCATTTGTCAAAAAGACCACAACTACAGAAGCAGAAAGAGCTTCAGGTTCCTTTGGGTTAGCTGATGCTGAGCATGTCCCAGAGTAGCTGTAGCTCTGAGGAATGAGTGCACCATGGCCCAGCCTAAAGAACATGGCCCTCCATGGTCTTTGCTTGGCTTCAGCAAAGTGGAGAAGCTGAGCCAGAGGGGCCCCCCGTGTGTGTGTGTGTCTATGCATTAATCTGCCCCTTCTGGTGTCTCAAGAAATAGCATGTAATTCCAGATAATTTAACTTTGGGCAAGGTTCCTGCTGCTTGGTTTCTGGTGCTTTGAGGTACCTTGGTGCAGTGAAACCCACCAGAGCTAGTTGCTCTGGAAGAAGATTGGATAGTGCATAGTGTGGGTAGAGCTGAACCACGAGGATGCAGTGCCAGAGTCAGATCTCTGGTGAGGTCTCAGTCAGGGTACCCCGCAAATGCGGTTTCTTTTGTGTTCAGAAACTTGTATTCCTCCTGTGCTGTCTTCAACATGCTCAGGATATTGCTTCACCCAAGGAACTCTCCCAAAAGACTCATTGTTCATCTTCAGTCCTTATCGTGGCATGTGATATGCCTTATCATGGCATGTGATATGCCAGGGCAGGCAGGACTCAGCTGGGTAGAGGCAGCTCTCCCTATACAGGTATCCCTGAATGGTGGTGGCACACCATTCCTGCCCCAGGGCTCTGGGAAGCCCACCCAATGTCCCCTATGCTGCAACTTTCCTCTTCAGATGGCTGGCAACCACATTTCCAACTTAAAAGCATTCTTAGTCCATATATTGATTTTTGTCAGCATGGTCCTTTAATTGAATGCATCTGCCTTTTCAGTCCTTGCCTGTCAAAACGGGGAAGGACAGGGAGCACATCCCATCACTCTCCCTGTCTGCTCAGGTCAGGCTCTCTGCTTGCACACAGAGTTAGCTCTGTGCTTGTGTGCTCTGGTAGCCCAGGGATCCTCTTCATCACTTTGAATTCCTTGTCTCTTGAGCACAGGGGAATCAAATTGTGCATGAAGACCTTGTAAAAGAGCACAGTGTTCTCCTTGCTCTGCTGGAAACACCTTGAAGTTGTCCTTCACATACACCCCTGGGCTTCTTTTGGGCAGATTACTTCCTCAGTCCTTTTTAGAAGATGCCACCCCAGCTTGTCCAAGAGCTGTCCCATCTGCAGAGCTCAGGATGCTGATCCCTGCCTGCTCTGAGCCTCCACTCTCGCTCCTTTTCCAGGGGGGGAAGATCCCGATCCGCTGGACGGCTCCCGAGGCCATCGCGTACCGCAAGTTCTCCTCGGCCAGCGACGTGTGGAGCTATGGGATTGTCATGTGGGAGGTGCTGGCCTACGGCGAGCGGCCCTACTGGAACATGACCAACCGCGACGTGAGCGCTGCCAACTGCCCCTCCTCCTGCCCTCCCAGCCAGCCTGGCAGGGGCCCAAGGATCAGCTCTTGCCTCTCTTCACATCCTCCCAGGGCTCTGCACAGGGTGCATGTCCCCTCTGTGCTGACAGCACTCCATCCCTGCACTGCACAGCCTTTGCCTTTGCAGTCCTGTGGCACCCAGGAGTGACCAGAGCTCATATATGGACTTACCTGCTGGCCTTTCACAATCCTGCCCTATTCCTGGGGACACTGACTTAAGTTCCCAGTACAGATGCAGGCAGGGAGATCACTGCCACACTGGCTGTATGCTCTGTGGCTGTCCACAATCCTGCCTTTCTGCTGGCTGGAGAGAGTCAGCTCATGTTGTGCCACATTTTCCAGTCCCTGGGAGGGGTCAGGGCTTCCTAGAATCATTGCAGCCCCACTGGACCAGCCTGCCAGTTCCACTGCTGGGCATCCATCCCTTCCAAATGAGGCTGCTGAGAGCCTCAGGCTAGCACCACCCAGCTGTAGGCTTTGGGCTTGTCTGAGTTGTGTGGAACCATTCTCACCTCAAGAGTGGCATAAAATCTGAAGGGAAATGTAGGTTATAATCCTGACCACAACCTGAGGGCAAAATTTTCAAAAGGAGGCGGTAAAATTAGTATTTCAACTCTGCAGAACAAGAGGACTCCTTTTTTTAACCTATGAGTACTATAAATGCCCCCTGTGCTGGGAGCCCCCTCTCTTCCTATTTTTTTTTTTTATTTTGTGGTGTCTTTGGTGACAGTAGGGCATGAATGCAGTGGCTTACACTACCTCCTCCACAAAATTTCTTCAAGCAGCATTTCCTCCAGCCTTGCCAACCAGTGCCACACCCCAGCTGTAGAAAAACTGAGTGTGAGTGCAGCCATTATGGCTTGTCTCCTGGAGGGAAGCTGCAATATTTTAGGCCACTGGACCACTAAACAACTCTCTTGTCATAGCACTGATTTCCTGTGCGTGTGTGATGTCCAGTAAAGGTCTCCCCTGCCTGCAGAGCAGGCTTTGTCCCCGAGCAAGGCAGTCCTATCCAGATAGCTCAATCCTTCTTGGAGACAGAGTTATCCCAAATACCCAGGCCACTCATAGCCGCAGCTACCTTAAGCAAGCTTAGTGGACTTCAGCTCTTTAGTGATTATCAGCTCTCTTATGATTTCAGCTCTTTGCTTGCGTGCTAAGGTCCCAGAGGGCTAGGGGGAGAAGCAGACACAAGAGAGAAGGAGAGGTCCTGGCGTTCCACAGCAATGGTTTATTGAGGGGTCTGTGAAGGGTTCCGGCGACGGCTCTTCTTCTGCTGAATGGGCTAAAACAGCCCCTTTTTATAGGGTACAGAGGGATCCAAACTTGTCCAATAGTAAGGGTTAGGGGAAAGCGACCTATGGGGTTACAGAGATAAGCTGGGGTCTGAGAGGCGGAAGACAGGAGCTTATTTTGCTGTCTCATCATGACTCAGCAATTCCTACTGTTAAGTCTCAGCCCTCCACGGGGTCTTAGACAATTCTGTGGGGTCTGCTACAGTCCAGCCCACTGCCAGCTCTGCACAGAGCCTGCAGGCAGCCATTCACTTGTTTAGCATGGAGCTTGTGCACATCCCTCTGCTTCCCATTCCACGGCCCCAGCAGCTTCCATAGATCTTCCCATCGGTGGGGCTGGAGTGGGATGGGGGTGCAGCCCCCCTGCAGTTGTGGCTTCCTTGCAGGTCATCACCTCTGTGGAGGAAGGCTACCGCCTGCCTGCCCCCATGGGCTGCCCCAGCCCCCTGCACCAGCTGATGCTGGACTGCTGGCAGAAGGAGCGCAGCGAGCGGCCTCGCTTCTCCCACATTGTCGGCATCCTGGACAAGCTGATCCGCAACCCCGACAGCCTCAAGTGCACAGGCACCATCAACAGGTGAGGGCTCCCTGACCCCTGTGTGAGCAGGGCCTAATGACTGGATACTGCTCAGAGCATGTGGGCTGCAGTTCTGACTGGCTGTAGCAGCGATGGCTGCCCTTGGGAGCATGGACTTGCACAGGGCCCGTGGACAGAGGTTGTGGTGAGTAGGGAGGAACTTCCTGCACTTCATCCCCTTGCTCCCACCACGGCATCCCCATGCCAAGGCCAAGAAAGTGCAGCAGTGCCCATGCAGCAGCATCCCTGCCTTTACCTGCCTGCTAGGGCTCTCTCTGTGCTGCTCTGCATGACCTGCAGATCAGCTGTGTCACAGCTGTGTGCCCAGGTGGGCAGGAGAACAAGGGAGAGCTGTGCCATCTAGAATAATGTGTCCAGCAGGACCAGGGCAGTGATTTCCCCCCTGTGCTGGGCACTGGTGAGGCCCCACCTTGAATCCTGGGGTCAGTTCTGGGTCCTTCATGACAAGACAAAAATGGAGGGGTAGAGTGTGTTCAGAGCTGGGGAAGGGTCAGGAGCACCCTGGCTCCAGACTGAGGGAGCTGGGAGGGGCTCAGCCTGGGGAAAAGGAGGCTCAGGGGGACCTTCTGGCTCTCCACAACTCCCCAACAGGAGGGGGCAGCCAGGCAGCAGTTGGCCTCTGGTCCCAGGGAATGAGGGACAGGAAAAGAGAAAATGGCCTCAAGTTGTGCCACAGGAGGTTTAGGTTTGATATTGGGGAAATTTTTTTCACACAAAGGGTGGTCAGGTCCTGGCACAGGCTGCCCTGGGCAGTGGTGAAGTCATCATGGATGCCCTGGAGGTGTGGATGTAGCACTTGGGGACATGGTTTAGTGGTAGCCCTTGCAGTGCTGAGTCAACAGTTGGAGTTGATGATGTTAGAGGGCTTTTCCAACCTTAATGTTTTCCTGATTATATAGGTGCATTCAGGTGGCCCTCACAGCCTGCTCACCTTGGACCAATGTTTCTTGTCTAACCCCTTCTGTTCTGCTCCCAGGTTCACCCAGACACGCCTGGACAGGGGTCTCCTGGACCTGAGCAGCTGCTTGACTGTGGAGGACTGGCTGGACTCCATCCGCCTGGGGCACTACCGGGACAACTTTGCCATGGCTGGGTACTCCTCCCTGGGCATGGTGATGCACATGAACCTCGAGTGAGTATCAGGGAGCAAACAGCGCTGTCTGGGTGTGCCCAGGCCCACACCAACCCCCCAGCCCCAAACAGTGACCTCCTGCCTCTGCTGGCTTGGCCTGGTTGGTCCCTGGTGCTGGAGAGGTATCTCCAGGCACATGGTGGTGAGACCTGGGACAATGTCCAAGGCTTCACTGAGCTTTGAGGGAAGGTGTGCGAGTTGTACTGAGAGGCTGTGAGCTCCAGGTCACCTCCAGTGCTCTATGGTGGCTCTCCAATGTCACCATAGGCCCATAGGAGGTAATTCAGGTTGCAAGGTGCTCCAGGTTGGGTTGCTAACCCAGCCTCCTGGTCAGAGCAGGGTCACACAAGAGGTTGCTGTCTCCTTGTGCTTCTCATCTTTGTTTTCCCTGCAAAAGGCACCTCTGGACTAGTGTGGCTGTGCTATTCTGCACAGCTTCTCTAGGATCACTGGGAAACAATCTTAGCTGGGCATTACCTTGGAGCTTTGTCAGACCCCTGTGCACAGGACTGGCTCCCTGCTCAGTGCAGCCAGGAGGGAGACATCACTGGAAGGTCATTCACACATTACCAAGGGTGGGTTAAGTAGATAGAGCTGGAGAAGATGTGTCTCATCACCCTCCTGCTGTAAGGAACATGATTTCCCACCTGTCTTGGGAGTTTCCAAGGTGGAGCATCCAAGCAGTACCAGAAAAGAAGGCAACTATGCCAGCTCCTGCCCTTATATCTGCTTACATCTCTCATCCCTTGCTGTTACCAGGAGTGACAGCCTGTTCAGCCTCTAAGGAGCCTTGTTCCCTGTCCAAAGGCAGAGAGCTGCTGGACAGTGGTTCCTGTGGCAGTGAAAGGGAAGGCAGAGAGACACAAACAGAGAGTTGTCATGTGTATTGATTGGAGCTGTACATGGGGCCTTTGCTCTGGGATTGAGCTGATAGTGATCCTTGTTTGTCATGCACATCAGAGAATCTTTTGAGTGGGGAAGGCTCATCATCCATCCTTCTGACTGGGTTATCTGAGGGCATCTCACTAAAACTGAATCCAATTTCACAGCATTGATCTTGTCACCTACGAGCCTGTCAGGAGTGATCCAGCTCCTGCTCCCACAGGGCTGTCACAGCAGCCTTGTCAGGAGGACATGTCCAAGAGAATGGCAGTCTGTCTGTCCCTGGGAGAATGTCCATGGAGCCTTGGCAGGACCAGCCTTGTGCTCATGTGCAGGTGGAGCAGAGCCAGGCACAGGCTCCTGGGCTGCTCCATGGATGCAGTTGTCTCCCTGGGGCCTGGCTCAGGTGTCTTTGACAGTGTCTTTGTTCTCCAGGGATGTTCGGAGTCTGGGCATCACCATGATGGGCCACCAGAAGAAGATCTTGAGCAGCATCCAGGCCATGAGATCCCAGCTGCTGAACACAAATGGCCCCAGGAGGCATCTCTGACCAAAAGCTCTGCAGAGCTGCATCAGGCATTCCTTAACACTTACCCTGGCAAAGGGGCTGCAGGGTGGTGAGCAGGAACAGGGGCGCCAGGAGCTGGAGCCCTGCCAGCATCTCTGTGATTTCAGCATTGGTGGAAACGTGGTATTCCAGATACCTTGGTGGTCCTGCTGCTTCCTTCCCCCAGGTGAAGGGGGGAGCAGCCTTCCAAGCAGACACATCATGATTCTGCTATTTCCCTGTGGGACTGGGGGTCTCCCCACAACTATGCAGGACAGGAGACAACCCCTTCACCCAGTGGGATGGTCCAGCTGCTCCTGCAGGTGCAGGGGCATCAGACACATCAGCAATAACCAGGAGCAGTGGGCTGGGCTTGCCATGGCACACAGCTCCTTTGGATCAGGCAGCTGGGGAGCTCCTGGGATCTCTGAACTGAGCAGGGCTCCACACACTGCACACAGCAGAGACAGCCCTGCTCCCTGCACCTCCCAGCACACTCCAGCCTGGGCCTCCCGAACTGCACCAGCCTGAAGGTGACTTCATGGTCCACCTCCACCAAGAGCAGGAGGCCAGGGGACAGAAAACAAGGTGGCAGTGCCAGGAGCACCTGGCTCTGCCTTCAGACCATCCTTCCCAGCTGGGAGGAGAGTTGTCCAGGGACTTCTGCCTGGAGACTCAAGAAGCCCTGGAGTGCTGCAGGACACTCTCCACCTCTTTAAGCCACCAGCACTACTCCATGGATCCAGCACAGCCCTCCAGGCAGCCCAGGCATATTTTCTAGGGCCACAAGCTCAGGTTTCTCTACCAGCAGAATCGTCCTGGCCTCCCCCAGAACAGAGAGGAAAGGGAGAGTGTGCTCATGGGAGCGCATGATAGAGGGATAGAGAAACAGCTCTTCTTTGTTCTTATACTGTCCTAGAGAAACCCAGGAGCTGTGCCATCACCTGGCTGCCAGTGCCCAGGGCTGCTGGATCACCTGCAGAGGAGGGGTCCTGGCCGTGTTTCCAGCTGCAATCACAGCGTCCTATGGCTGGGGACAGAGGCTCTGGGCACAGGATCTCCCTGCTGGTGACCCCAGTGTCTGGGAGACTGGTCTGTCCTCCACAGGAGCATCTCTCTCATCCAGGTGAGCTTGCCTGGTGCTGAGCAGTGGCCTCCAAACATGTGTGGAGCTGGTCCAAGAGGCTGAGCTGGGTGCAGAGGTGCAGCAGATGAACTGGGGAGTGGGGCAGGCTATGGGCTGGGAGTTTCCTTTTGGTGTAAATACAATTTTCTATGGGTTTGGGAGCTGTTTTACTGAAGTAGGATGTTAGGTACACAAAATGGTCTCAAAGCACAGAAGCCTCAGTTGTGGGGCTGAACTCACTGCAAAAAACACCTGCTGGGAGCATGGCTGGGGTGGGGGGTGACAGGAGGGGAGAGAGACTGGAGAGGAGCCTCACTCCCTGCAGGGTCCAGCCTGAGCCACAGCAGCCTGTCCTTCCCACGGCACAGCAAACTCAGCATCACTCCAGTGCAGGTGCTGGTGGGATGTGGCCTGAGGGCTGCTCCTGCCAGGCCTGTTGGGGCACAAGGGGGTGGGGGGTGGGTTGAAGCCATTTCTCAGCTGCAATAATCCTGGCTAAACCAGCCTGTCCAGGGCTGGCTTGGCTTTCCATGCAGAGCACTTGTGTGCTGATGGATTCTCTGACTATGGCGGGTATTTTACTTCTTCCTATGGAAGCTTTTTGTGAGGGGGACAGATGCAATGTGTTGTTTCATTTGTATTGCACCCTACATCCTGCACTCAGCCCTGGCACACTCCCTCCCCACAGCCAGCATGTGATGAAGCTCATCCAAACCCTGCAGCACAGGGGGCTGGTGCTGGCCCTGTCCTCTCTTCCCAACATTTGGGACTCAGTCATGGACACGCTGGTGAGAGCAGAGGTCAGAGCAGTGCCACACCTGTGTCCTTGGGGTTTGCTGGGCAACCCCAGCCAGGTGGGCTGCAGGATCTGAGGCTGGGAGCTGCCAGATGGCCCCTTTCCAGGTGGTTCATGAGTCAGATCTTGCAGTGTGGGGTCCCTGGGCTGCTCCTGGCTGTGGGGATGGTGGGGCAGGGTTTACCTTTTATGTTCAGAGTGTGTGCTTCCCCCGGACAATAAAAATCCCTCTTTCCGTGATCCATCTCCCTGCCTGTAATTGTCACTGGGCTGCACATAGCTGTCACCACTTGCAATGAGGATAGGGGACACCCCAGCTGCTTCAGGGGGACCAGCACTGAGATGCTCAGCCAGTCACCGCCTCCCTTGCTCCAGAAAGCCTCCCACAAGTGAAGGATGCTTCCCTGCAAAGCAGGAGCATCCATGGGATGGGTCCACAGGGACAGGGAACAGCCTAGAGATGTTTGTAGGCTCCCAGGGAGGGGTGCTGTGGGCTGGAAGAGGACACCCCAAAACCACCAAGTCATTGCTATGTAGGAGCATCTCATGCAGGACATGAAGCAAGAACAAGATATCTTGTGTGCACAGGCTGCTCTCAACCTCAGGAGTGTCTTACAGGTTTTTCTAGACTCAGCCTTACCTTCTTCTGGAGATGCAGATTTTTTTTTTTAGAAAGAACAAAAATTAACACTAAAAAACCAAACCAGTAAAACCTCAGCCCTCATCTCCTGAAGTCTGAGCTGAAGTATATTGTAGGTCTGCTTACAAAACTCTTCCTGAAGGTGTTTAGCTGTGTTCCAGCTGCCCTTCAGAGAAGGATTCACCAGCAAATGATTGCAGGACAAAGAAAACACCATTTTCAGGAAATGCCCTATAAAAGCAGCAGGGCCCCACAGCACAGGGTGGGGTTGGCTCTGAAGCTGTCACTGCCTGCTCACGTGCTCCCAGCCTTTGCCACGCTTCAAGGATAGAGGTGACTGTTCACTGGCCCCAGCTCTGCTCCCCAGCCCAGACATAAGGAAAGGCCAGCCCAGGGCTCTGTCCTAGCCCAGCCTGCCTGCACACTGTCAGGTTATCCTGCCAGCCCCTCCAGAGCTTCCTTCCTCACAGGCCCCCTCCCACTGCTCTTCTTCTTCACAGAAGCACAGGCCCCAGGCTGGACAAGCTGCTCCTGGTCAGTGTCCCCTGTGCTGAGGCTGAGCTTACAAGTCCTATGCTCTGCATTCCCCTTCACCTATCCCATTTCTGCATTTACATTTCCCATCACTATAACCCTGACTCTCTCCCAGACCCTTCTCCTGTACCCAGAGCAGCTGTGGCTGCCCCATCCCTGGAAGGGTCCAAGGCCAGGCTGGACAGGGCTTGGAGCAGCCTGGAATTATGGAAGGTGTCCCTGCCCATGGCATGTGGTGGGGAACAAGGGCTTTCAAACCATTCTGTGATAAATATTGTTAGATGGAATCTCTGAAGGTCACCTCATCCCACTCCTCCAGGTGCCTGTGCAGTGCACACACCTGTGCAGGTTCTGCTCAGAGCCCCATCACATCATGCAGACAGGGGCAGCAGCTGCATCATCTCTTGCTCATGGTCCAGTGCTGTCCCTGTGCACAGTGGGACAGCCTGGGCATGCTGGAACCTGTTACTGTTCAGTGAGGACACACATTTCTCTGCTCTATTTCAGTTATTAATAAAGCCAGTGTCCACATTGTGCAAAGCGTGCAAGATTTTCTTACATTTCTTAGACCAAACATTTGGAAGGGTGGATGATGCTGGTGCCTGCCTCCTTCCCTGGGCAGGGGCACTCAGCCAGGCTGCTGTGCATGGCTTTGTGTGGGGAGGGCTCTAGCCACTACTGCATCACTTTGTCAAAGCCTGTGAGCATCATGCCCAGGGCATCACCCTGCTCACAGCCTCAGGAAGATGAGGCACAGTTGTGTCATTTTTAAAGAAATTGCCAGGGAATTGCCAGCCTGGCAAAGGTCCATCACTGGAGACACTTCTCCAGGACACAGAGCCATGTTTTCAGACCTCCTGCACTCCCATCTGGCCGGGCTGGGGCCAGGGCTGCACCAGGATCCTGATGGCTGAGAGAAACTGGCTCAGCAGGAAACCCCTTGGGAAGAGGATCCTGGGGAAAGGGCTGGTCAAGAGGCAAAGTCTTCCATCCAAGGAGAGGTGATGGACATCTGCGTTCATATACACCAGCAAATAAACCCCTTCCCGTACCAAAAGAGACCTCAGGATTTTCACACCTACTTAAACGTCCCCCAAGAGGATTTCATCCCATCTTGCACACTGGGAGCTGGTCTTTCCCTGGTAAAGCAGCTTTTCTTTTCCACTCACACCAGCATCACCTCAGGCTTCCAGTAACTCCTCTGGGAAGCATTTCCCTGGCAGCTGCCCGGCCCGGTTTGGCTGTGTCATTAGCAGGGAGGCTCTGTGAGCTCCGTGTGCCTGGAGGTGGCAGTCTGGACCTGCGGAGCCCCTGCCGAGCCCTGCTGAGCCCTGCCCGGCTCTCCCCGCGCTCCTGGAGCTGCCAGCCCCCCTTGCAGGGGTCACACGCGTTCCAGGGCTGGCAGGAACAGATGGTCAACTCGGCTTCGGATTTCCTGATCTGATTCCTGTCTGACCACACACCAGCCTCCTCTGCCAAGAAGGCTGTATTCCCAAACCACCTTCTCTCCTTGCTTTTAGCACAGTCGTTTAGCATCATGTCCAAATAAATTACTCAGGATAATTTGATGTAAGATAGAAATATCAGCCCCAGCTGCTGCTTTAACTCTTGGAAGGATTATGGGTCAAGTTCTACATGGGTTTTGAAGTGTACTATAGGTCATATCTTGAAAACCACCATCAAGGACTGAGATTCCATCATAGCTCATCCCAGGATGACAGAACTGCCTGCTCTGCCACCAGCCCAATGTCTCCCCACCTCAAGCCAGCCAGGCTTGGGGAGAGATGAGCTGGGACTGCAGCCACCCTGACTTCTGCTGCAGGCCTGGAATATGGGCAGGACTCAGAGCAGTGAAGCAGGTCTCACATCAGGAGAGCAGGTCTCCTATCTCAGAGCAGTCACCTGCT